AAAAAAAAAAAAAAAAAGGAGGAGAAAAGAAAGTTGCGTTTTCGATTACTTAATATAGTTATTTTTTTTTGGCTGAATAAAAAGATGATCAATTTCTTTAAGCAAAAATTATTACGCAATTGTCATTGCTGATAATGTTTGCTGTTACACTGAACCAAAGATAAATGGAATGTTTATAGCAATCTCAGATTAAAAATTATTTTTAGGTGGATTTAAAAGTTTTTTTTGTTGAAATGTTAACTGAAAAAGAAAAAACAGAAATTTTGAACTTTTACGGTTCAAGAACATCAAATGGTTGAGATGACGATTACCTGAAAACTCTTCCTATGTTTCAGCTCCTCTTCTTCTCTCTTTTTTTTTTTTCTTCTTTGTTCTCATTTTCTCCTGTTTATTCCATTTCAACTGGACTTTTTTCTACTCTGAAAAAGTCAAATAGATCAAGTTCTGTGGTAGACAAGAACTTGTGTAGTTGGTTAAATTGGATGAACAGACGCCGGAGAGAAGAACTGATGAGGAGGAGGAGAAGGAGCTGGAGGAGGAAAGAGAAAAACCGATTATTTAGGTTACTAATGGTAAAAAAATTTTGATAAAAAAAAGAAGGTGAAAAGAGAGGCAATGTCTAAATAAACTTTTTTTTTCGTTGTTGTAAGTATTAATTCTGTATTAAAGTTGTGAATAGAAATGAGCAGAAATGAACTGAAAGAATGATGGAAAGTACTGCGGAGAGTTGTTTACCATATTTGGTTAGATAAAATTGGAAAGTAAAATGGAAGTTATGATTAAACAAAATTTTTTTGTAGGTACAATTTTTTTCACTTGTTCTTTTAATCGTTGTCTTTTTATACAACATATAATTTGATTACTCTGATGTACAAAAGAAAAGTTTGGCAGATCAGAACTGCTTTTTTTTTATCGTGAAGAGGGGAGGAGAGGGTTTAAAATTGTCTATAAAAACGAGAATCATAAGGAGCTTTCAGCTCATCTGCACGACCATTGACACTGTTGGAGTTTTCGATGCGGTAACGCAACTTTGACATTTTTCAGAAAAACAAAAAGTTTCAGGAATTTAAAGTTTAACAAATTGTTATAGCGGGCGGAGCGGGTTTTAATGTGCTTTAAATCATGCGATTTTTTGGTACTTCATTTTTTTTCACTTTTTGATAGGTGAAGAAAATTGGTAAGAAAGTGAATAAAACCGTTGATGAGTAGCGTAAAAAGGGC